GGGGGGGGGGGGGGGAAGCTATGCAACTTCTACACAACTGACTTCACTTAATTAAGTCTCCATTTTGAATAGACAAACCATGAGGCCAAGTCCTTGTCCTCCACCATTTTAAAACATATATTTCCCAGAGGGCAACGGTCACTGTCTGCATATAAAATGTACATTTAGCCCCAAAATCTCCTGTTCTCTTGCTGGGCCATAATCGGTGGGTAAGAGGCCAGTCTGCAGCCCCCTCCAACTAGCACAGTGACGGTGCAGTTCGTCACAGCCGGTATCGGTTTTTGGTATCGAACAATTTTCACAAGTATAATTACTCGTGAAAATGCCAAGTATCAGTGTTGGTGGATCTCTACATGTTAATATTACTTTCATTGCTGAGCAATGTAAGAAATAGTAACTTATATTCTCATGAAATAAATGATTGCTCAGCCTTAGTGCCATATATCAGCAGCATGCAGAGTCACTCCCAGTAAAGCAGAGGTTCCTCTGCTGAGGTTAGGACTAGGGGCGTTTTTCACAGATACAGTCTATGGTGGCAGGCTTCCAGTTCTTACACGTGCACCATCGGCATCTCCCCATCTCCTTCTCCTCAGCTTGGCTCCCACTCTAACATCCGAGCCGAAGAGATCACTCCGCCGGTGCACTGTGGATAGGTGGAGTGATCTGACAGGACAGAGGCAGCTCAGGCAAACATAGTTCCAAGTGGCCGCAATTAACTAAGGAAAACTAAGGGAAAGCTGTGACTCTGGTGGGCGCTAGATATGACAGTGGGCCCTGGGCAATTGCCCACTTTGCCCATTGGATAAAGCGACCCTGAGGGGGCAGTGGGGCGTCCCAGTCAGATGTTTCTCAAGTTAAATCTCTAAGTAAAGCTTTACCTTGAATTGTGAAAATTCCTAATAGGTCATACGGCTGCTAATTGTAGACAAGACACCTCTGTGAATCAAAGGTTTTTCCTCTCTGTCTATTTGGAAGGTAAAGGAATTAGATTTCACGTTCCAAAGTAGAGCAAGGTAAAGAGTCTGTCCCTAAATCTGAGTCTCCTAGATCATCAGAGATTTTTAAATAGTATTTTAACTGTCATTAGTCAATGCCCCAGTAGTCATTGTAATTAATAAATGTAGACACAATTCTTCAAACAATAAATATTATCTGTAACACATATAAACATTAATTTTGTACAAACTATTCTGAAAATACTGCGATTTGTGTTATTGTGCATTTGAACTAAGTTGTTTTGTTTTTTTTACAGTGAAAAAAGCTACTTTTGATGGCCCCCAAGGTAAGAAGTACATATATTATATATATATATTGCAAGCATGCATTTTTTTTTAGAGAGTAAGCATGTTCTTTTTTTTGTTCTAAAAAACAGAAAGTGCATTGTGTGTGCCATATTTTGCAAATTGTAGCATTGGGTGTGCCAAATGTTATCAATTGTAGCATTGGAGCTGCCAATTTTTTTCAATTGGGTGTGCCATATTGTGTCAGTTGTAACATTGGGTGTGCCATATTTAATCAACTGCAGCATTAGGTGTGACATATTTTATTAATATTTGTAAAGAGGCAAGTTTACAGGGAATTGAGAGTATTCATTTTCAACACAGGAGAGGACTTGCTACAAGTGTGTAGAAAAAAAAAGCAAGGCTGGGTTTCAGCTTTAAATTATCCACAAGGGGTAGTATAGGGGTTAAATTACATACAAGGGGTAGATACCAAACATGTCAAGTCTTAAAATTGTGTGCGCCTGCTAAATTGCAAAGCACTACCATGGCCAAAACTGCCCATAGGCGATGCTTTAAAAGCTTTCACTGCTTATTAATTTAGTTTTAACAGTGATTGATGGCCCTAGAATTATTGCTTGCACTCCAACGTTCACAGTGATAAGTTACATGTGTGACATTATCATAATTTTCGCAGTTTTTTTTTATATGTGATTGCTATCACATAGGGGACCAGAAGCTGTCTGGTCCAAGCCATAGCTCATGATCCTGGTTCTATATTAACTGATCCTTTTGCCCTCCAACATGCTCCTCCACCATGGTCCTATCCTAGTTATTATGTCAACGGGCTAGCAGAAAACATTTGCCAGGTATCTGGAATGAGTCTTCTTTCAGTGCAATACTTTACCTCAAATATTGGTCTGCGGAGAATCCGTGCAAGCAATATCTCATGTTCTTTTCTGGGGAATGCTTTTTTGGCAAATCAAGGGAGTCGTGGGGGGGTGTTGGTGGCATACGCTTTTGGCCCAGAAAAAGAAGGCAGAAACGTCATGGGGTAAAATGTCTGCACAGGTCTGCTGTAAGTCCTGGATAACCAAGTCTAGAAGCAAGCCCTCCTCTTACTCAGGGGGTGCCCCCACGTATGTTGGCCATTGTCTCCTTCTGGTCCCGGGACATTTCAGACATCCGGGTCCAGAATGTTGTGTACAGTGGCCACTAGCTACAATTTAGGTCCCTACCTCCATCCCGCTTAATGTTGTCAAACTTGCCGACATCCCTGCAAATGTTAGCTTCATGCTGCTCTAGAGCAGCTCTGCCAGGGGGTCACTGCCATTGTCCAGGTGGAGGAGAAGTGCCAGTTTCTATTCAACCTGCCACCATCTCCAAAGCAAAAGGAGGCATCCACTCCATACGGGATCTAAAGATTTCTTAAAGAGATTCATTTACGTTAATTAATTCCTAATGGAATCCGCCCAGTCAAACATAAATCCATAAATCAGCGCTGGATCTGACTCATCACCTGGAGTATCTAGGCCTATTCTTTGATATGGCCCTGTCCATGTTCTTCCTTCCACCAGTCTCTTTGCTCCCAGCCTTCAGTCCAGGAACTACCCAACCATCCACTCAGGATTTTGGGCCTGATGGTGGCTCACTATGAGGCAGGCCTGTATGCTTAGTTTCCATTCACAACATTGCAACTCAACATTCTGGCAGCTTGGGACAAGCTGACTCAGTCTCTGGATCATCCGCAGTGCCTGACCAGCAGGACCAGGCTTGCCTTGGTGTGGTGGATCTCCAGTCCGCACTAAAATGAGGGAAACCCTTCCTTCTGATGGTATGCAAGGTGCTCCCGTCTTATACCAGCCTGTCAGGTTGGGAGGAGACCTGGGTATCCTCCTAATACAGGATACTTGGTCGTCAGAGCTCAGCTCCCAATCATTATGCTTAAGCTTGAGGCGATTCAATAGTCAGACAAAGTGACAACAGTGGCCTACATTAAAATTCAGGGAGACACCAGAGTTTGTGTGGCTAAAAGAGAAGCAGACCTGATTCCGGCTTTGGCAGAGACTCACGTTCCAACCCCAACCCCAACCCCATCCGGGGAATGGTCTTTTCACCTGGAGTTGTTCTCCTGACTTCCAGGTTGAAACTGGACAGGTTTATTGTTTGCATCACAGATCCTTGGGCCTTTGTGATGGATGCTCAGGTGACTCTGTGTGATAAATTCAACCTGATCTACACTTTCCAGGCAGGATCAAGGTGAGAGGCATCCAAGTAATCTTCATTGCACCGAAGTGGCCCAGGAGGACATGGTACTCAGGCAGACATAGTCATATGCCTGGCAGACTCTTCACGGGCCCTCCGGATCTTCTGGAAATGTGGTCCCAGGAGGTGGTTTACCATCATGCTTCTCAGTTGCTGGCTTTAAAGGCTTGTCTGTTAAAGCGCCGGTCCTGAGGCACAGGGGGCTATTGAATTTGGTCATCTCTACATTCTTGAAGGCTAAAAAGTTGACACAAGTTTTACCATCCCCTTGGAGAGTGTACTTCGCAAGGAAATTCCATCCCAGAAAGTACTCTGTGGAACTAATTCTATTTTCTTTTCGAGTATAGACTAGATTAGCATGTGGCCTTGAGTAACGTCGAGAGTCAAATCTCACCCTTAGTAGTTCTTTTTCAGAGACTTGCCTCTCTCTCCTTAGTAAAAGCCTTTGTACAGGGTGCCATTCACATTCTACCTCCTGTACGTCCCCCAGTGTGATATCTCAATTTAGTGATATCAGTACTTAAAGTACTTTAACCCTGTTAGGGTTATTTTTCTGTCTACCCTTACTTGCAATGTAGCCTTTCTCATGGCCATAAAAGACAGATATCACCAGCAAAGTTTCGATTCTTTTGCTTATTATTGAAGAAACAGGTCACAAACGTCATTTAACCAATGTTTTGGGGCCATGCAGGGTCCCTTCTTCAGGGCGACATAGTGACAGGTTGTAACAGTCAGTTGGACTGCTTTCGGATGTCACAGGGTTCCAGAATACTTATTTTGTGTCCCGTTATGTACGAATAAGAAAATAGGATTTTTTGTCCTACCTGTAAAAACCTTTTCTTGGAGTATATTATGAGACACAGGTCCCTCCTCTCTGTTTATTTTGATCCACTCTTATTATTGTTTGCAACAAAATTGAGGCTTGCTGGGGGTGGGAGGGGTTATACTGTGCTTTCCTCACAGCTCTTGTTTGCCCATGTCTAATCTACCAAAGGCAGCAGCATAACCCAAGGTTCCAAAATAATTTGCCTTTTGTGCCATAATGTACCATGAATCCTCATGTTTCTGCCGGTGATCAGATCAGCTAATCTTGGAGATTCTTGATTGTTTTTCTGATGCTTGCCACATCAATTGCACAACTTTTCCATCTTCTGGCTTGCTACACAACACTTCTTGTTAGTTCTTTAAAACGTTTGTGGCTTCAAACTTAAATGGTCCATGAAAGGCACAGGATGCAATTTATTAATTTGTTATTTCCTTTTGTTGGTTCCAGCCTGTTTAATTTTTAACAACTTGATATGGATCACATTTTTTGCCCGCAGACTTTTCACAACTGTGTGGGACTCTGGCCGTTCTGCCAAAAATATACTCAGTTGTTTTGTTCATATCCCCTCCCACTTTTAGGAGATATGTATGAAACCATAACTGTGTTTTATAGGGCCATTGGATCTAATAATATCAGTAGTTACATAAAAATGGGTTATAATTAGTATTGATTCGACTAGAAATCTCCCTAACGTTTACTCTATATTCACCACTCTATTTATTACAGTGGTATTTTCAAACAAGATACACCTGTCAAAAATAACACCAAACAATATTGGGCCATGTGAAAAAAAATTATTCAATATGTGAACTTGTAATCAAACAAGATTTGCCCCAACCTGTTCATCCTATCATCACTGAATGTAGATTTATTCAGAAATTTGCCCAACATTGACTATTTTTTGTCTTACACAAGATTCAAACTATTCCCTAGTTTGGAGTAGGGAATGTGTATGTAAAGCCCTTCTTTGCTTTGGAGCATAGGAAGAGTGTAGAATATATGTTTTGTATATAGGTTCAGCACTTGGTTAACTTTTTTAACTGATAAAAAAAACCCAGTGTGCCCCCCTTCAGAATACACTAGCCTGGTATGCAAGAGACCAGCGAGTCTGCATGCCCCCTGATGATATGTTGATACTAACCCACACACTGTTCAGTATTGGAGGTGCTTTGAGGGATTCCCTCTAAAGAATAGGGGTCTCCCAAAGCACTGTAGACAGATGCTGATGGGCACTGTGGGTGCCGGCAAGGGGGGCACGTAGGTGGTTGCTTCCCCCCTAGTCAACTGGTTTTAGGGGTCCCACAGACCCCATACCTGTCTACCAGTATACATGCAGGTAAATGAAAGTTAGAAAAAAATGCATACGCATAAGTACAAATAGTACAAAAGTACAAATAGAACAAAAAGTACAAGTACCTTATTTTTTAAAACTAATATTTACCTGTCCAAGTTTCATTAATGTCCAAAGAGGTCCTACAGTAAATGTGTGTTTGGGGGGTATACAGGGACAATGAGGGCATGCTGGGTCTTGTAGTTCTCTGGGGGATATGTGGGGGTGTATAGGTACAAGGAGGGCATGCTGGTTCTTGTAGTTCCCTACAAGATATGTGTGTTTGGGGGTATACGGGTACAATGAGGGCATGCTGGATCTTGTAGTTCCCTGCAAGATATGTGTGTGTTGTGTGTGTGTACAAGGACAATGAGGGCATGCTGGGACTTGTAGTTCCCTGGGTGATATGTGTGTGTGTGTGTGTGTACAAGGACAATGAGGGCATGCTGGGACTTGTAGTTCCCTGGGTGATATGTGTGTGGGGGGGGG